AAATGAACCAATGATAAGGAGTTATTCAAATGATGAGGCAATAAGCGATTACTCATGCTCTCTAATCGAAAGACAAGAGGCGATTACCCATGTCACATGATGTAAGGACAAGAGGCGATTACTCATGTTACTTTAAGAGCTAAGATGAATATGATTAAGAACTATTCCGTAAAAGTTAAGCTTAGTATCGAGTGGAAAAATGGTGATCACCCATGTCCCATAAATTATGTGCCAACATAGGATTGTCTACATAGACATTAGACATTAGCTAGTGGATCCACATAAGCTAGAAGTTCATGGTCTTTACCTTGGAAAGTGGGACAACCCTTTTTGGTGTGGGTGACACCGGATTCCATGTTACTAGCTCACATGGTCTTACATGCTGGTTTAGGCTACTTCCCACAAGCAAGCTAAGATGAACTAAGGTTACTTCAAGAAGAATCTTACACATGTTTTTTTAAGATGATGTTCACTTGCGTTGATCATGTTTTTTGACTTATGTTTCCTAACACTCAAGATTCATGTTTTGGCTTGATCATTGCATGCTCATGAAATGTCCCTTTTTAGCACGACTTTATCTATTTTTATGCATGGCTATCATACTTGGTACATGTTTGTAGTAATGCATATTATTGCCTACATTTCCCCAAATGTAGGGTCCGAGAGTTAGGGTTCCCAATTTCGTAGCTAGAATTCCCTGAGGAGATTTCAAGCTTTGGTGAGTCCTCATGCTTTGAGGACTAGACATTTATAGTTTTCAGTCTTTCCTTACTTTCAGTTTTTGAACATGATGTACGGGCTATGCCCAAATTCAATCTTATGTACTATATGACTTTGAGACGAAGTTTACATTTCTACTTTTTTCTATAAAAGTTTGATATATGGAAACTATATTTTAATCTCTTTATTCTATTTCTTGTATGATGAAATCTAAGTGGCTTGTATCGGGCCTCTCGGGGTCTTTTACACCATGTTACGCCTAGGGGCTACGAGACAATCAGTGCCCGGCACATCACTGGGAGGAATGGTGGAGTCTAATGATGTTAGGTTGAATAGTTTAGGGGTTAAACGTCAAGGTACGACCCCTAAACTATTCAATGTCTACTAAAGGCTTCCAGACTGTGCCCTATCTCTTCTTAGGCAGGGACTTTGTGTAGCTTTGTAAAATTCTCTGACCCATTTTGGCACATATGGATGTCTGGGCCTTGTAAACTATTCAAACCGCTGAAATTTAATAGTGTCCCAAATGGTCGGGTAATCACTCATTACTCCATCAAAGGAGATCCTCCGCTCCTCATGAATTGTACATTCTCTAATGACCTTCAGCCTATTAAGGGATCTTGGAGCTATGGTAGGGAGATCACACGAGGCAGGGGTCAGATCCTAGTAAGGTGATACTAATTTAGATATGATTTCCATCCTTTCCTTGTCTATATGTTTCCTTTATCTCTTACTCACATGTGTATTAGAGCGTGGAATGGGCTGATGTCTAGGAGACTCAAATGGTTCGTTAAGGACTATCCCTTGTTACCGCTTTGGAGAAGATGGAGTGTCATGCTTTTAATTAGAGGTCACTAGTTCTTTTCCAAGTGTTTTGCCCATTTCCTGCAAAATACATCATTTCCAATCATAGAATCGGTCAAGCATAGTTAAGATCAAACTCAATTGAAAGAAAAATTCAAAAACTAAACTGAGGCTTACCTAATGAGAAGGCACTCAGACTAGCAGGATGGGTAAGCTTCAGTGAGCTTGCAAAAATTGCAATGACCCGGAAAAACTAGTAAGTGAAACTAGAACCTAACGAGTGTGTAATTGAGTTTGATATGGGGTTTCATAGTGTGAAGTGATGTCCCGAACTTAGGTTGAATAGTTTAGGGGTTAAACGTCAAGGTACGACCCCTCCAAGGACCAAACAAGGGTCCTTGAGGGGGACCCTAAAGTCTAACCCTCAAAGCTGCCAAAATACCAAAAGCTGTAAAAAAAGTTGTAACCCACGGATGGGACCTACGCCCCGTAGGCCCATCCATGCCCCGTGGAACCCATCCATAGGTCAAGGGCCAAGAAAACATGCTCCAGACCCAAACCACGAAGTGCCAAAATGGCTAGTGGGCCCACCCACAGTCCATGAGTGGAGTTTTGTGGGTTATCACCGGAAGCTGTCCAAATTCGGCCAAGTGGAGGGGCAACTTAGTAAATTCATAATTAATTAGTTAGGGGTTGGGCATGGTTATTATTGATTTATTAAGGTATTTTAAGGCTTTTAAAGGTATTAAACTCCATTTTAGAACTCATTATTCCCAAACACTCAAAATAGAAACCTCCTCCCCTCAAATATTCTCTCTCTGGAAACCAACATTGGAGAAGAAGGATTCAAGCTTTCAAGTTCAAGATCTCACCATTCTCTCTCAATTTTCGTGGATTTTCTTCCATAGAGGTATGGTAGTCATCATCCTTGATTAAGTTTCATTCAAGGAGCCCTATCAAAAGATGATTTCAAGTTTCCAAAATCCCCCAAACACCTATGGTTTTCAATCTATGCATGGGTTCAATTCCAAAACGTTTTCAAAGGTTTATATATGATGAATTATGAATGGATTTTTGAATTAATGATGAACTATGGTGAATTTATCCTATGAACCCATGTTTCCCACAAAATCCTAAGATGTGAATTGTGATTGGGAATTGATTAATGATGAAAGTATGTTGAATTGTTTATGTTCATATTGAATTAGCTATTGAATCATGTTAATTCCCTTATATCTAGATGATTGGGTTTAGATTTATTCATAGACTTGGAGGGCAATTTCATGAAGGATTTATGTATGATTATTTTGTGAAGTTTATGTATGTGATCTCAATGAAAGTATTAGGATCATGTTTAGAATGTAATTGTGTTATTATTGAAAGCATATTCTCAATTAACACTCAGGAATGATGATGGTAGAATGTGACGTGTTTCTATAATGTGAGGTTACATCTTGAATTGGTAGGCATAAGACATTCTTTTCTTGTATTGATGAATGTGACCTTGAATGTTGTATCTAGGAATTGGTAGGCTTAGGCATCCTTTTCTTGTGTAATGAATGTGCCTTGACTTAATGGCCATGGAATCGGTAGACCTAATGTTGGTAGCCCTTTCATAAATGACTAATGAAGTATTGTAAGACTTTGCCTTGAATCGGTAGACCTAATGTTGGTAGCCCTTTTCTAAATGAATGATGAAGTATTCTAGGCTATGTCTTGAACCGGTAGACCTAATGTTGGTAGCCCTTCCTGATGAGTCTAGAAATTAATGTGATGCTAAACCTTGAATCGGCAGACCTAATGCTGGTGGCCCTTTCATGTGTGAAATGTTGAACCTTGAATCGGTAGACATAATGGTGGTGTCCCTTCTTAAGGATTCAATGAGCTATTCTAATAATGTACCTTCAATCGATAGACCTAATGGTGGTGGCCCTATCATGTGTAATGTACTTTGGCTCGGTATACTTAATGTTGGTGGCCCTTTCAAGTGCAATAATGTTAATGTGAATGAACTACTCTATGGGAATGAAGGCTAAGTACCGAGTGGATATGGTAAGATGAAAGCTCTGCCTATGTTAGGTCGGGTTCCAATGAACATCTCTCTTGTCCTATAATTATGTTCCCACATAGGATATTAGCTAGTAGATCCACCTAAGCTAAAATGTTACCGGTTCTACCTTAGGCAAGTAGACCAACTCTTTTCGGTGTGGGACATGACACTGGATTCCATGTTAAGCTCACATGGTCTATGCCAGTTAAATTTTATTCCCATCATGTGAGGTGTGTACTATGGTTATTCAAGAGGTTCTATGAAGTGTGGGTGGTAGTATGGGATGCCATTCATGCATTGCACGAGTAGGCTTGGAGAGGGCAATAGTGAGTTCTTTAATGTGTTAATGACTAATGAATGAAGGTGCTCTTAATAAAGCTAATGAAATGTTGACTTATATGCTTAATGTGATGAAGTATGCTTTACTTGGATTGTATTATGAGTTGCTTTCCTTGTCATGACTTATGCAATATTTATGTTCCTTATGAATGAGTATGGTCTAAAGATGAAAAGGAAGAATGGTAAGTTCACTTTTGGTGGCCTTAATGTGGTACTTAGTGTGGATGGTGGTATGGGACACTATTCATACATTGCACAAAGTATAGCTTGGGGTTACTTAAGGTGAAGACTCTAATGTGATGAAATGGCTTTCATGTTGATTATGTTCTAATGTGATGAAATGACTTATATGTTGAATGTGATTGTATCTTATGCCTTTTTCTAAAGTTCATGATGTTTTCTCAAAATTGGCATATGCATGGTTTTCAACCAAAATGTCTTTTTTAAGCATGGTTTTTGCATGGCTATCATACTTAGTAGATTAAATGTGCTAACCCATAGTTCTTCTATTTTCTACCAAGTGTAGGTTCCGGCAAGTGAGTTAAGTTACTTTTGATGTTTCATGTCTTTCATTGTAGTAGACTCTTTTTAGACTTTCTATTGTAAAGGGTCGTGACCCTACTTTTGATTCAAAGATTGTTTTTAGATGGCCATGTAAGACTAGTAGACTTCTGTTATTTTAAATTATGTTTTCGATTGTATGGATTAAAAGAGTTTTAAATTCCGTACTATTTCTATTATCTTATGTGATGACATGCTATGAGGCATGTATGAGACTTTTTGGAGTCTTGTACGTCGTGTCACGTCCAGGTTGTAGGCTTGGGTCATGACAAACATGGTATTAGAGCACAAGATTTTGGGATGGTTTTTTGGATTTATGTCTCATAAGCCACTCCAAGTAGAGTCTTGTTCATGGGTGTAGTTCGCGACACATTTATGAATAAGAGGCTATAAGACGTTAGAAAGCTACACTTTTTTCATTACTCTTTAAGTTGTGCCTTAGAGTATTAACTCTATGAGTGTCCTTTTCCTAACCCTTCCCCTGTGTTTATAGGATATGAATACAAGAAGGGCGAACGCAAGAAGGATGGAAGAGGAGATTGTGAATGGGAGAGTTCCTCCCCAAGGTCCTCAAGCCAACCAAGTTCCTATTGATCCTCCGGCTATGACAAATGAGAAAGTTAGGTCGGATCTTTTGATGATGGCTCAAGCCGTAACTACTCAAGCCCAAGCTAATAGGGGTGTTGAAACTCATATGAACCCTATTGTGAGAACTATGGCTTCTAGGTGGAAGTATTTTGTGAGGATGAACCCTCCGATATTTCTAGGTTCCAAGGTGAGAGAGAATCCCCAAGAGTTTTTGGATGAGGTGTATAAGGTAGTTAATGTTATGGGGTGACTTCTATAGAAAAAACGGAACTAGCTGCTTATCAATTGAAAGATGTTGCCCAAGTTTGGTTCACTCAATGGAAGGGTAATAGGCCGGTAGGAGTGGGGCATATAGATTGGGAAGTGTTCAAGGAAGCATTTTCTTGGTAGGTTCTTTCCCCGTGGGAAGAAGGAGGTTAAGGTGGAAGAATGTATCAATCTTAGGCAAGGTAACATGAATGTTCAAGAGTATTCTTTGAAATTTACCCAATTTTCTAAGTATGCTCCATCTTTGGTGTCTAACCCAAGGGATGAGATTAGTAGGTATGTGACGGGTGTGTCCGACATAGTTGAGGAAGAGTGCCGTACAACAATGCTCCATGAAGACCTGAATATTTCTAGGCTCATGGTATATGCTCAATCTATTGAGGAGTCCAAACTTAAAAGGAAGAATAGGGAAATGAAGAGAACTAGGTTCGACGAGCAAGGTCAACGAAGGTTCAAAAAGAGAGCTTTTAAACAAGATTCTTCAAGCACTCCTAGGGTTAACCAAGAGAAAGGAATTGGACCTCCATTTTCTAAACCTACTTGCCACAATTGTGGAAAGAAGCATCATGGAAAGTGCCTAGCCGGTACGAGTAGGTGTTATGGTTGTGGAAAGAATGATCACCAAGTGAAAGATTGCCCTACTCTTACGGCCAAAGGAAGAGAGGTCAAACAAGCTTCTCTTAATGGCCCAGATCTTGATGCTCCAAAGAAAAATCATTTCTGTGTACTTCAAGGTAAAGAGGGAAAATGAGCTCTTCCGGATGAAGGCACCGGTAAGAGGTGATTTCTTATAGTTGTGAATGTATTGTTAAGGTCCCTATTATATTTTCATGTTAGCCTTAGTTTGGGTTTACTCCCAAGGGGGGGATGGTATGTTGAATAGTAAGGTTGTTGAGAGTTCCAATATCCTTATCTCTTTCCTTCTATTTCTATTCAAGCTTGAGACCAAGAGTTCCTTGTAGCTTGTTTCATGTTTTGGATTCATGTGTGATTATGTGTTTCCATGGTCTCCTTATGTTATGCATGTTCTTGATGAATTTACGTTTAAATTAGAAAATGAGTTTTTATGATTTATATTCCTCATGTTGATGTGCATTTAGTATGAGTTGCCTATATGCCTAATGAGGTTAAACGTTGAACATGCCTAAATGTGCTTTTGAGAAGAATTGCATAATTTGTTTTATGATGTTGAAATGAGCATGTTGTGAGTTGGAGAAGGTAATTTCTCCAATGAAATGAGAAATGTTGAAGTTTTCATGCATAATGAGTTTGTAGATGTAGTTCCTACTTTCTTGTGTTGCATTGAGTATGATTGAGATGGAGTTGATGTTTCCTCCTAGTTATGTGCATGGTTTATGACGTTGCATGCATGATGGGTTTCTATTCTTGAGTCTTTAATTCCCTAAGGTGCTTAAAGTGTCATTCGAGGATGAATGTTCCTAAGGGGAGATAATGTAACAACCCGGAAAAACTAGTAAGTGAAACTAGAGCCTAACGAGTGTGTGATTGAGTTTGATATGGGGTTTCATGTTGTGAAGTGATGTCCCGAGCTTAGTTTGAGGAGTTTAGGGGTTAAATGTCAAGGTATGACCCCCCAAGGACGACCAAGGGTCATTGAGGGGGACCCTAAAGTCTAACCCCCAAAGCTGCCAAAATACCAGAAGCTGTCAAAAAGGTTGTGACCCACGGATAGGACCTACGCCCCGTAGGTCCATCCACGCACCATGGAACCCATCCGTAGGTTAAGGGCCAAGAAAACATGCTCCAGACCCAAACCACGAACTTCCAGAATGGCTAGTGGACCAACCCACGGTCCGTGGGTGGAGTTTCGTGGGTTATCACTGGAAGCTATCCAAACTCAGCCAAGTGGAGGGGCAACTTAGTAAATTCATAATTAATTAGTTAGGGGTTGGGGATGGTTATTATTGATTTATTGAGGTATTTTAAGGCTTTTAAAGGTATTAAACTCCATTTTAGAACTCATTATTCCTAAACACTCAAAATAGAAACCTCCTCCCCTCAAATATCCTTTCTCTAGAAACCACCATTGGAGAAGAAGGATTCAAGCTTTCAAGCTCAAGATCTCACCATTATCACTCAATTTTCGTGGATTTTATTTTATAGAGGTATGGTAGTATTCATCCTTGATTAAGTTTCATTCAAGGAACCCTATCAAAAGATGATTTCAAGTTTCCGAAATCCACCAAAAACCTAGGGTTTTCAATCTATGCATGGGTTCATTTCCAAAACGCTTTCAAAGGTTTATATATGATGAATTATGAATGGATTGTTGAATTAATGATGAATTATGGTGAATTTCTCCTGTAAGCCCATGTTTCCCCCAAAATCCTAAGTTGTGAATTGTGATTGAGAATTGATTGACTCCTCAATCTTATTCTGTTTCCGATCCTGCTTCAGATTCTCTTTCAGTTGTGGAAACAAGCCCCTATTCCTATCGGTTGAGTAGCCCAAGCTTTTGAATTGTTTATGTTAATATTGAATTAGTTATTGAATCATGTTAATTTCGTTATCTAATGTAGTATTCTAGACGTTTAGGTTTAGATTGATTCATAGCCTTGGAAGGCAATTTCATGAAGGATTTATGTATGATTATGCTGGGAAGTATATGTGTGTGATTTTAATTAAAGTATTATTGAAAGTATATTCTCAATTAATACTCATGAATGATGATGATAGAATGTGAAGGGTTTCTATAGTGTGAGGTTACATCTTGAATTGGTATGCTTAAGACATCCTTTTCTTGTATTGATGAATGTGACCTTGAATGTTGTATCTTGAATTGGTAGGCTTAGGCATCCTCTTCTTGCATAATGAATATGCCTTGAATTAATGAACATGGAATCGGTAGACCTAATATTAATGGCCCTTTCATAAATGACTAATAAAGTATAGTAAGGCTTTGCCTTGAATCAGTAGACCTAATGTTGGTAGCCCTTTCCTAAATATATGATGAAGTATTCTAGGCTATGTCTTGAACCGGTAGACCTAATGTTCGTTGCTCTTCATGATTAGTATAGAAACTAATATGATGCTAAACCTTGAATCGATAGACCTAATGTTGGTGGTCCTTTCATGTGTGAAATGATGAACCTTGAATCGGTAGACCTAATGGTGGTGGCCCTTCTTGAGGATTCAATGAGCTATCCTAATAATGTACCTTGAATCGGTAGACATAATGGTGGTAGCCCTTTCATGTGTAATGTACTTTGGGTTGGTAGACCTAATATTGGTGGCCCTCTCAAGTGCAATAATGTTAATGTGAATGAAGTACTCTATGGGAATAATGTTAAGTACCGAGTGGATATGGTAAGATGGAAGCTCTCCCTACGTTAGACCGGTTTCCAATGAACATCTTTCTTATCCCATAACTATGTGCCCACATAGGATATTGTCTAGTGGATCCACCTAAGCTAAAATGTTACCGGTTCTACCTTAGGCAAGTAGACCAACTCTTTTCAGTGTGGCACATGACACCGGATTCCATGTTAAGCTCACATGGTCTATGTCGGTTAAAGCTTATTCCCATCATGTGAGATGTGCACTATGGTTACTCAAGAGGTTCTATGAAGTGTGGGTGGTAGTATGGGATGCAATCCATGCATTGTACAAGTAGGCTTGGAGAGGGCTATAGTGAGTTCTCTAATGTCTTAATGACTAATGTATGAAGGTGCTCTTAATGAAGCTAATGAAAAATGTTGACTTATATGCTTAATGTGATGAAGTATGCTTTACTTGGATTGTATTATGAGTTACTTTCCTAGTCATGACTTATGAAATGTTTATTTTCCTTATATTTGAGTATTGTCTAAAGATGAAAAATAAGAATGGTAAGTTCACTTTTAGTGGCCTTAATGTGGTACTTAGTGTGGATGGTGGTATGGGACGCTATTCATACATTGCATAAAGTATAGCTTGGGGTTACTTAAGGTGAAGACTCTAATGTGATGAAATGGCTTACATGTTAATTATGTTCTAATGTGATGAAATGGCTTATATGCTGAATGTGATTATATCTTATGCGTTTTGCTAAAGTTCATGATGTTCTCTCAAAATTGGCATACGTATGGTTTTCAACCAAAATGTCCTTTGTAAGCATGGTTATCATACTTAGTACATTAAATGTGCTAACCCATATTTCTTCTATTTTCGAGCAAGTGTAGGTTTCGGCAAGTGAGTTGAGTTCTTCTAGTTCAAGCTTGGATTGAGTTCTTCCAAGGCTAGTGGTATGTCCTCATGGATTCGAGGACAAGTACTTTTGATGTTTCATGTCTTTCATTGTAATAAACTCTATTTAGACTTTCTATTGTAAAGGGTCGTGACCCTACTTTTGATTCAAAGATTGTTTTTAGATGGCCATGTGAAACTAGTAGACTTCCGATGTTTTAAATGATGTTTTCGATTGTATTGATTAATAGAGTTTTAAATTCCGTACTATTTCTATTATCTTATGTGATGACATGCTATGAGGCTTGTATGATACTTTTCTGAGTCTGGTACGCCGTGTCATGTCCGGGGTGTAGGCACGGGTCGTGACAAAAAAGGACAGTACCAAAACTCAAAGAACTCAAGCATGATGGGTGGATTCAATTCCAACTCGGTGATTTACCGAGTTGGTTTCAGTGATCTAACATAAGTTCGCCAAAGTTTATAGTGCAAAATGTAAAGAAACATGCATAAGGGCGATGTCCACTCCCAATTGGAGATTCATCGAATGTGTTTCGATGAATTAAGAAAAGACGCCAAATGGAATAGTACCCGAAGTCACATATTTACTCAAGAAGGTGTAACACCCAAGATTCGAAAGAGGGAAGCCAAGTAAATTTTAGTAGTTCGAGGTGCCATCCACAGCCCTTGGGTTGGACCACGGACCGTATGTGGGTGCGTGGATTGGCCATTCAAAAATTATCTAGGGAGGGAATGACTACTGGACCTACGGACCATCGGTGGGTCAATGGTCCATGGTCCAGGAAAAAAGTTACTGAAATTAGTGACAGTTGTGCAGGACGGGCCATTGTCCAGACCACGGTCCGTCTGTCACTGCCTCGTGGGTCACCACCTGGCAGATATTTTAGGATCACTCCAGCCTTCTCCAGTGACATTCAGAGGATTGAGGCTGAGTACTTGCAAGATGATGTGGCTCAGAGAAAGAGCCACCACCAGATTCGATGTTTGTTGTTGATCCCACTACACTAGCAGATGAGGCTAGCAAACTTGCTCCTTCTGTGGAGCAGGCAAGTATTTCTACACCTTTATTTACTGCTGGCCCTACTACCATTATATTTGTATGTGTTGATGCTACTGTGAGACCTCCCATCTCTCCTATTGCTAGTCCCACTTTGACCTAGGCATTGATTTACCAGATGGGGAGTCTTTCCTGATTAGTAGATTTTTGATCCACCGAGATTGAGATAGACATACCAAAGATAATTGATCATGCAATTAAAAATTCATTATCTCCATTTATCGAGAAACTGGTCAAGTGTGAGGGGACGGTTGAGAGTCGTAGTGTGAGGTTGGAAGACCTTACAATGAGATTAGAGGATCGGGAGAAGGCTAGTGGTAGCTCTTGTTCACTAGACACCATGAAGGATGAGCTTACTACCTTGCGAGCAAAGGTAGTCTAGTTGTAGTCTACATATATATCTATGGTTTTGGGTGAGGTTCCCCTACCATATGCACCTGCCTCTATGTCTGAGATACCGAGCATTGTGCCTATCTCTAGTGAGCATC